GTACCAAGGTCAAAGAAGTCTTTACTTCAGTATGTCAAGAAATACTCAGTGAGAAGAAATTGGAGCACAAGGAATGGATTAGCCAACGGTCATTGGATTTGATTAGCATTAGAAGACAATTGAATGCAGAGACAAATGCAAGTAGAACAAGTGGATCAAAAGCGGACGCATTGGAGCTGTACAGGACAACAGCTAAAGATGTAAAGAGATCAACGAGGAAAGGCAAGAAGGAATTCATGAACAGGCTTGCAGAGAGGGCAGAGGAGGCAGCAGCAGGAGGGAACATGCGAATCCTTAACCAGACTACAAACACTCTTTCTGGAAAATATGGGGAACCAGAAGTAACAGTAAAGGACCAAGAGGAAAAATACCTATTTGGAAAGGAAACTCAGTCAAGACGATGGGTGGAGCATTTCAACAGTCTCCTGAACAGACCACCACCAAGTAACCCGCCAAACATCCTGCCAGCAAGAAATGAGCTACCAATCTACTGTGATGCCCCATTGAAACTAGAGATTATGGATGCCATTAAGAAGCCGGTCCTGATCAGATTCCACCTGAGGCCCTAAAAACAGATGCCAATGTGACGGCAGACCTCCTTCTCCCATTGTTTATCAGTATCTGGAATGAGAGCAAGTTGTTAAACTACCTAAAAAGGAGGATCTCAGCAACTGCAGCAACTACCGAGAAATCACTCTTCTCTCAATACCAGGAAATGTCTTCAACAGAATCATTCTGGAGAGAATCAAGTCTGCAACAGATCCAAGACTTCGGGATGAACAGGCTGGTTTTCGGAAAAATCGGTCAACCACAGACCAGATTGCTACACTGAGGATCATAGTGGAACAGTTCCTGAAGTGGAACTCCCAGTTGATCGTCAACTTTCTTGACTATGAGAAGGCCTTTGACAGCGTAGACCGAGCAACACTGTGGAAGATACTGAAACATCACGGAATCCCACACAAGTTGGTTGACCTCATCGGATGTATGTACGAAGGGACAAGTTGCAGGGTTATACATGATGGCCAGCTCACTGACAGCTTTGACATCGAGACCGATGTGAGACAGGGATGTTTACTATCACCTTTCCTCTTTATCTTGGCGATCGACTGGCTGATGAAGGAAACCACCAGAGGACACAGAAACGGTATACAGTGGACCCCATGGACACAGTTGGACGATCTGGACTTTGCAGATGACTTGGCGCTTCTGTCACACTCTCAGGAACAGATGCAAGCACTTTCAGAAAGTCAAGCAGCTGCATAACAAGAAAAGTGTTAGATTAGAACCCAAAGGGTAAAAGATCAAGGGGAGGACCACGTAGAACCTGGAGAAGAGTCATGGAAATGGATGTACAGAAAAGTGGGAGGACGTGGAGTGACATCAAGCGACTAGCCCAGGATAGGGAAAAGTGGAAAGTGTTTGTTCATGGCCTATATCCTGATCCAGGGTGAGAAAGGCAATGATGATGACTTAAGTACGGCTAGATGGTTAGGCTAGCCGTTCTTAAGAATGGCTAGACTATTAGGCTAGCCGTACTTAATAATGATGGTTGAATTGTAAATGAAATTTTTAGTTGGCTATGCCTAAAGATTTCAGAGGTGCCTTACTGATTTGCATGTATTTTAAACCTGAATAACTACTTGATCTATATCTAATGAGACCTGTGTACTCAACAGGTTTGAGTCAATAGGGCCAAACCTAGATCTAAGTACGGCTAGACTTTCAGGCTAGCCGGCTAGCCACTTCGGTAAACAAATGGATCGTGGACTGTAACAAACGGAACTACAAGATCACCCACTTGTCTCCTTTAGGTAAATTTTTACTTTCACTCCCGCGATCAGATGAACTGCTTCAAACTTCAGTATTGTTTGCTGCAGACCATACATAAAGCCACTAAAACTGTCGCAAATCAATTATTTTCAAGAAAATTTCAAATCTGTCTATAAAATATCAAATTATGGGTTAACATAGAGGGGCATGCCCCCTGTAACACCCCAGATTTTCTTTTACCCCAGTGGGGCAAGCCCCCCTGGAACCCCCCCACGATTAGTCCAAAGCACAACTATAATTAGATATATTTCAAAATCTATTAATTTGTGACGGAAATGAAGTTGATATTCGTGTTCAGGGCATCAATATTTAGTAGAAAATGGACAGCTGATATCAGCTAAGTGTGAGACAGGAGGGAAAGTAAGAAAATACCTCCTTTTATTCTGTTCACGTGATAGATTCTCTGATATGTTTTGATTTCTACTTAGCCTACGTTACCCTAAAGTGTAAAGACAGTATTTACTGTATTAAATTGTCTTTCCTTCTTTAATTCCTTCTTTAATTCCTCCTTCTTTTACTTCTCAGTTTCATTACTTGTTAGATCATGTACATATATGTCTATTCAAAGTCAGCATGTAAAATTTAAATCATGTGTGTAACTTAGTGTAACTAGTTTTTAAAACTGGTCACAAGACAAGTCAGAGTGTGAGAGGGGAGATAATTAAGGGAAGGACTTCCATAACGAGGACCACCCAAACAAATACAGTCGAACCTGCCATGATGGCCACCTGTACAAATGGCCACTTTCCATTTCCGCCCTGCGTTTTTTTCGATATAATATAATTTAATGTGTGAAACGGGCACCTGTCCAACGCGGCCGCGGCCACCTTTTATTTTAACACACAACCCGTATCACACCAAACAATAACACCTGTCTTAGACGGTCACCTTAGTGACTGTATTACGTTTTGTCATTAAATAAATCTTGCATGGGCCCGTGGCATTGTGGGCAAGCCATCATAATCCATTCTCCTGCCGTTATTGTTAGGTAGTCCCTCCAACCGATCATGTTGCATAGGCCCCTCCCACTGTTGACCAATAGGTAACCCATTTTCAGCTTCAGGTGAGGGAAGCGTGTGATCCCTCATAACCTGTAAAAGACCCGCCCAGAACTCGTACACAAATCGTAAGTGAGAGGAGTGGTCCCTGTTTACCCAGTCTGTAACAAAGTAACAATAGACGTAAACATGAACTTGTGACAAAAACGTCGCTAGTTCTCCGTGTGGTGACGACTCATGTGTTTGTTTTACCTTAGCGCTCGGTCCTCCTTGTCTGACACATTTTCGTTTTATTGTCATCCTTGCCCTTGCACAAAAGCAGCTACAAAATTTTACAAAAGAAAATAAAAGCCAGCAGAAAAGACAACAACAATGCGGCAACCTTCGGTTTGGACCTCAGAAAGGAATTACTTGTTTTCTTGATGGCTAATGGCCAGCTCTATTCAGACCCGAGTCCGAATATAATATTTATCTATTCGAACTCGAGTCTGAATATATAATGGGTTTTATCTATTTGGACTCAGGTCCGAAAAAAATGTTTTATTTACTCTGACTCAGCTTCTAAGTGAGTTATAATGTGAGTGTAAGGAGGTTAATAATATAAAACTAGAATTAGAACTAAAATTGCCTAGACTGTGTAATTGTGTCAAAAGTCTAAGTCTAAAGACGGCACTCTCATCAGATCTACCCAATGGCAGTGTCTAAGTACACGGTAACCGACAACTCATGGTCTTTCCACCTCCACTACAGCATCATCATTACTTCCACCACCATTTGTCTTTCCACGTCTTTAATTTCTTTTTGTTGTGTGCTATAGTTTTTCTGTAATTATTTTTTAAAAATCACATCGCACAAAACCGACAGCCGTGTCCTCTTCCCACCCAACACCTCTTCCCCCAGCAAGCTGAGAGTGCAATATCGCTTTGCACAATCTCATTGGTCGACCTAATTAACTTTGCCCCCGGCAAGGTCAACTCAACTTAATTGTTTTGGTCAAAATAATGATCCAGGGAGGGCCAGTTTAGATAGATCTAGTAACTGGATATTAAAGCTCACGTATCGATCGTTATCATTATAATTTTTAAAAATTTCAGAAATGCTGGAAATATTTAGGAACAAGGGTCGGAAGGGACGTCATTCTGAACTCAATTCAGAGTCCAAATATAATTTTTGTCTATTAGGACTCGAGTCTGAATAGTCACTTCGTTTCTTCATCTTGATCAGTCCTGCCTAAGACGGGCACTTTTCTCCTTGACAATGGGTGGCCGTCTTACACAGGTTCAACTGTGCAAGAAAGAGGAGACCGGCCTACCTAACTGACCCTAATCCTATCCTACCCCTCCCCCAACCCCTACCTCATACCCTATCCCAAACCCTCACTCTACCTCTACCCCAACAACCCCTTCCCCAAATCCTAACTCTAACCATAATCCTCTGCTCTATTATAATTCTATTTCATAGTGGTTGCTCGTTATAGAATTCTTCTGATAATCAAGTTATAGGCCATGCCCATATGAGGTTCAGTTCAGCTCAGTTTCTGGCAGCTTCACTGATGGCCTGACTCGTGGCCTTGAGAACCAACATTACACATGTTTGTTCTTAAAGATCATTGTTGGTTTCTTCCAGTTTGTGCCATGCTAGTAGCTTTTCTCCCTCCTTGGAGGAAAATCTGGCTAGCCTCGAAAACCAAACCAAACCAAACCAAACCGATAGATTGCCAATAATCATATAAGTCGGAGAGAATGATCCGAGGGACTATAGATCTCTGTTGCTCAGGGTGAATATGACAAATTAAAGTAAGAGGGAGGGAAAGAGAGGGACTGAGAGATGACGTGCTGATAAAATAGGTGATTATGTGTATATTTTGTGTCATGGAAGCTGATGGAAGCACACTTTTCATAATGGTTTAGATTTGGCTGATTTTAAAAATAGTAGATCAGGAGCATCCAAGGAGCACCACCTGCTTTCGGGACGACCAGTCCTAGACCTAAATTTGTCCCCACTACAACTACAATTATTACACACACATTCACAATTCAATGTGTAGTTCTCAGCCGAGAAAGGTCCTGTCTGAAAATTTACAAAGTGGTCTGACAATAAACGATCATTTCTTTCAAAAGAAGCTGAGAATGCCCTGATCTGATGAAATTCTGTTTTTATAAAAATAAATTTCCGATCTTAAAGCCTGTTCCCAATCACCTATCCTTTGATATTATCTGTCCACTTCCTGTGCCCCCCTCCCCCCCCTGCACTACCTCTATCCACTTTATGTTGTCCTTGCTCCTATCCAGTGGCGGTGGGTGGGTGAAAATATGGGTAAATAAGAAAGGTTGAGTTCAATGGTGAGATTTTGTGAATTCAGAAGAAATTCTAGATATGTGTGGTGAGTGTATTTGTTCATGTCATATGTGCGTGTGCGTGTGCGTGTGTGTGCATGCATGTGTGTCACATACAAACACACTTTAATGCTCACATGATACAACAGTAACTAGAGATAAGGCCATGTAGTCTCAGAGAGCAAGATATTTCTAACGAGGGCCCAATGAGCTTGTTTTGGTTACTGGATGTCTGAGGAAAGTGTGTCATGAATGAGCCCTCGGTAACAACAGTTTTTGCAGGCTCTCATTTGTTTCTTTTACCTTTTTTCGAGAAGACTTTCATAGAAAGGAGTGTGGAAACGGGCTAGTGCTTATCTGAGCCCTACAGACATTTGATTGACTGTTCATTTACTATAGTTGTAAATGGTGACAACCGTACGGTAATTGGATAAACGAGCAATTGCGTGTGTTTACTTCACACAACTAAAGGTGGAAGATTCTGTAGCAATCTTAACGGTCTCAACTGGATTTTTCATTGATGAAAAAAACATTCATTTACGCTGGGAAAGAGTTGAGGTGGGACTGGGTGGGGCTCAAGCCCTTTAGCCCTTCACTACGCCCGGCCACTGCTCCCATCACTGTAAGGTTTGCCTCTTACTCGAAGTTTCAAATGCAGCTAGCCTGTTACAGTCAGATTTGCTCTAACAGCCACTTGTCCAAGACAATCACCAGTACGAATGGCAGCTTCCAACTCCTCCCCCACCCCCCTGCTTTTTTTTTCGACATAATAATGATATGATATTATTAATGACACTGTCCAAGACGTCTATTACCTGTTTAAGCCAACCATTCTTCTTTTCAGTAATGGCTGGCCTTCTTAAACACAGGGATGCCAATCAACCTTTTAAAAAATAGCTGAAAATCCATACGCCACGGTCTCGCTAACATATGACTATCAATTTGAAACCCAAAGGGTGTACATAGAGTGGGTTTTTATTTATTTTTTTCTAACTGTAGATTCTATCTCGATCTCAATAACGGAATAGTGGCTCAGGATCAAAATACAGCAAAAAAGCAGAAAAGTGGCATCCCTTTAAACAATTTCAGCTATACTACATGATAAAGATTTTTTTTAAAATTTCATCCTCTTAAAAAGCAAATCTTCAGCTCCGATATGATTACCCCTGTATTATAATTTATACTGCATAGTCTGCATCACATATTTTGTTGTGCTGTTCAATAAGTTTCAAAGTCCATCAGTTGTCATCATAACGGAGTTCTTTGGCCTCATGAAGCAGGCTTCCTCACTTTTATCCTGTAACAGTTGATCAACAGCTGACTAGGCATCAGCATGGTATTTAATTTATGAAGGAGAGGGATGGGCTTGGTGAAGAAATGAGATGCTAAAAGCGAGTCTTTCAGTTCTGTATACCCCTGGGGAAAAGGTGACAAGTCTTGAAAATTGAATCCACAAGTGAAATCAGGGCATAATGTACTCTTTCTTTTTCTGGTCCACCACTCTTCAGGGTCAAGAACCATATCATGAACGTAATATTTTGTACGTCATATAGCTCATGACTGTTAATTTCTTCCTTTGGTGGATCAAATGAAATAATTTCCAAAACAGATGAAATATGGGCAGTTATCATAACAAGTATTTAAAAAATGGCTTTGAGTACAAATATAATATTAATAAAATACAAACCTTTCAGAATTAATTTTTCATTTCAATTTCTGTTATGTCATTCAGTTCTGTGAAGGAGAAAGTGAACTTAAGTGTAAAATTTCTTAACTTGATGTGTTCTCTTTTTTTCAGTCTTTAAGGTATTTTTACTTTACATACCATGGATTATGTCGACTTAAAAATTATAAAGAACTTACCCTTTAAAATTAGCCTTGTGTCGGACTTAATGACAAACAAGACTACATATTATTATTTTTGAGATTTTTTACTGCTTTAACTGGAGTTTTCAGATTATTTTCTTTTTCGTTTTTTGACAGATAAGATATCCCTGAAGGAAACGAAATGTCAGGTTTTGATATTCTGACAATGATGTTTGCAGACATGAGTCTGCCAGGCTTTGAATAAGCTGTTTCAGTCTGATATATGAGTATCAAAAGTCACGATGGGTGACTGGATTTGTACTGTGTGCACTTTGAACAATAAATTGACAGCCACTAATTGTGAAGCTTGTGGAGCAAAGAGAACCATAGACAGCAAAACTACAGGTGTGTCCAATGGTGCTTCCAAAAATGTGCAAATAAATGGAAAAACAACAAACAAATCCAATGGGCAACAGAAAGCTGTAGACCAAAGTAAATCTGTGATTAACATTAGCAGTGAGGACGATTCAGATGACAACGTGATTGTCGGGATGGGAGGAGACGGGGATAAGCCAACAGACTCTGAAGAATGGAAATGTCAACGTTGCACACTCCTGAACCCGAAGCACCTCCATCGATGTCAAGTCTGTGAGTCTCCTCGGAGATCTAGACTGCCAACCCTGTCAGATGTTGACCCTAGCTTCAAGGAAGTTTCCTCTGGAACTGAGACAAAAGAAGGTGCAGATAAAAAAAATGGGCCTGTTGCGAACAATACAAATAAGCCAGCAATGGATAAAGCAAAGGGAAATCCTGTACCGAGTGGCCATAGTAAGGAAAAACCGATGGAAATCGATGGGGAGGAGTGGAAATGTCTTAAGTGCACTTTCAGTTGTAATCCAGAGTGGTCAACGACATGTGAGTCATGTGGGCAGCCCAAGGTGCCAGATAAACGGAAAAGTGTCTCTCCTCCAAGCCCTGTTGATATCAGCAAGGATAAGGTGACTTATATTCACAGACCTAATAAATCATCAACCATTCAACACCCGGAGGAAGCTGGGTCTTCATCCTCCTGGGACTGCTCAAAGTGCACTTTCAAAAACAGAGATGGCGATGTTTGCTTCATATGCAAACTCCCTCGAGAGAATTACGAAAACACACAGTCATGGCAGTGCCAGATGTGTACGTTAGTGAATGCTCAGGAAAACACTGTTTGCTCTGTGTGCAAGCAGCCTAGAGGGGGGCCTTCTTCCATTGCTACTACCTCAGCTCAACCACCGAAGCCAGGCCACAGAGCAGCGGTGGGCAAGACAAGTGACACAGCCCAGAAACCACATTTTGATCTCCACAGACAAGAGAGCTCACTCGTGGAAGACATTCGGCGTATTGAAGAGAATGAGGCTTCAGAAATGAGGCAGACTATCATTCAACATTGCAGAACTGTGAGTTTGGACTTAATGTTTTTGAAATTGTGCTAATTTAGTGGCAAGAACAACTCAGTGTGACTTTCAGAACGTTTTTTGTCCTCGCATTTTCCTCTAAATATCAAGTTACATTTTTTTTTCTCTTTAACCGTATCCGTACACCTTGGGGATATTTTGTACCCCCTGGGTTATATTCTTCACATTTTAGAATACTTTTAGTACGAAGATCTCTTTGAAACTTTCAGTCTTTCTCAAAAAATCATTTTGACGGATTGCTATGCAAAGCGCACGGATCGGATTAACTAGTACATTTCCTCTTTGAAAGTGGTGGCACAAAGTTCCCCACATCATATGGATATGATAGTAAAACACGACATATACGGATAGGGTTAACCTCTTATTACTTGTACATATTTATATAAATATAAATTTCTTAAAAATGATTGATGTTCCATCTTGTAAATCAGAATTTTAACTGACACAATGGCTGTGGAACAAAAGAATATTGTCACATTATATTTATTATTGATCCCATTTAATTTCACAAAGTATTGTCGCTTAAAGTCTTGAGATGTAAATCTATGTCTAATACATTCCGAAGAAAAAGCATGGCTCCCTTATTTTGTGCAATGTTTATGAGATTTGAAACAACCATGAAATTCAGACCTGTGGCAAATATCCTTCCTATATCTTAAAGTATCTGTTTTTGTTAACCCTGTGTTTCATGAAATAATTTTTCCTTAACTATAGCTTAAAATTTTTGCATGCACACTAAGACTTACCTGTATTAAGTTTATCTTATGCTCTTATTCTTTGTACGTGTGTGTGATGAAACACCAAACCAATTTTCCAGTGCCGGGACAATAGAGATCGATCTTTTCATATCCCGTTTCTATGTCCCTTGCAATTTTTGCAAAAAAATGTAGTCATATTATCCTCATTAGTTTTTTATTTTGTTTTTTGTTTACCTTCTGTACTTTTCAGACCGGGTACCCATTTGTGGATGATTCCTTCCCTCCTGCTCCAAAGTCTCTGCATAGAGACCCGAAGCATGGATTTTGTGATGTACCTATCAAATGGAAAAGACCACACGAAATCGCAACGCCGAATGAGATGAGACTTCCATGGGTAGTGTGTCGTACCCCATTACCCGAAGATATATCTCAAGGTGTACTTGGTAACTGTTGGTGAGTATTAAAAAAATGTCAATGATTTTACTCCGCCATCAGCACATTGAAGACTTTTGAGAGGGTGGTTACTGGTCGGAAATCTCAATTTTTGTGCTATTCACAGCTATTTGAAGTGGGGTGGAGCCATTGGAATGTTGTGTGATATCTTTTCAAGAAGTTAATAAACTTAAGCTGCCCTGATAAACTTCCCCACCCTATTCAAATCTTGACATGTTGTGAATGGTGATGCGATGTCATTGCATTGCACTGCGTGCATGATAATATAATGATATTGTGCACTCAGTGAATAGTGCTGTGAGTAGCGATTGTTGAAAAGTGAATGTTCTGTTTGGATTTTTTAAAAGAAAGAAAAATTCTCACAGTATTCGAATGGTTCAAGTTCAAAAGTAGTATCCTCAGGTTTTGAATCAGCAAAGTTTCGCTTCCTCAAAATGGCACAGCACTAGTCGATATCACTGCGAATCTCAATCATTTTAAATGATCCTTCTGATGCACATTGTTGTGCGGATTGTGACCTAAGTCATAGGATTGTTTCAAAATCTGAAATGTTGAACCCTGCATCAAATATTAACAGTGGGTGGTTTGCGGGTGCTCTGATATGGTTTGCTCCTTCTTTCCTGTCAAGCATCTATCGTCCTTATCTCTCCTCCTTCTTTTTTGTGTATGTTACTCTCTTGTAACACATGTATTCTTCAGCACTTATATGACCTTATTGTGTTGCAAGTGCCATAAAATTCTACTAAAAAACTAAAACTAAAATATTGACCAATATTATAAGATTATAAGCCACTGTCGGGTGCTCAGGTTCCTCAGTGCGCTGGCCGTGCTAGCAGAACGACGCCACCTGGTGGAGCATATTGTACTCACAACCGAGCTTTGCCGGCAAGGTGTGTATCAGGTTCGACTCTGTAAAGACGGGTTGTGGAAGACAGTTCTCATAGACGACTGCCTTCCCTGTGACCCTTCAGGAACGCTTATTTTTTCAAAGGTATGACATCCTTTTGCCTCATTCTCCAGAGTCTCAGTATAACAAAAAATATTTGTCACTCCCATTTTACCAGAACAAAATTATCTTGCTGCCCACGTTGTTCTTGTATTGCAAAAAGTAGTTATTCCAGTTTTCCTTTTATGATATTTTCATTTCTTTCACTGACATCAGAACTACATTTCTGGCTCAGGCTAGAGTTTGGATTTGTGATATTCTGGGGTGCCTTGTCTCAGGTTGTGGAGGTTTGCTAAACTGAAAAATGCTTTGTTCTTTTTTGTTTTTGTTTTTTGGTGTTCCACTTTGTGCATCGTTTCTTTAGTTATTCATAATTTTAAAGAGGATTTTATTAAACTCATACCTTGACAAAGCTTCAGAAAGAGAGACACACTTTGTTTTTAGGATCTGTGGCATTGTTTTAAAGTCGCTTAGAGAAACTGTTGTCATTGCTTCATCACTTTAAGATTCCTTTGAAAATTGTCATCACTTTTTTTGCTGCTTTAGGCCAGAAGGAAGCAACTGTGGGTCCCCCTGATAGAGAAGGCCATGGCCAAGCTTCATGGGAACTACGAGGCACTCGTGGCAGGGAAATGTATCGAGGGTCTCTCGATACTCACGGGAGCCCCCTGCGAGAGCATATTACTGCAAGGTAACAGCGTCAGACTCCGTGGGTTTGAAAAGATTTATCTTTTAGTTGTTGTCATTCAGAAACAAGGTAACATCATTAGGCACTCGGGGATTGGGTTTGACGAGGGTGGGGGGTGGGGGGATATATATCAAATCAATTTTCTTTTTTGTCTCTGTTTGAGACAAGCAGTCATCTGTGGCTTCTTTGCCCCAATGTCTCATTTGTTGTTTTTTACTCTTAATTTTTTCACTATCTTGTAGAGCAGTGCTTGCCAACCTGGTCAGTATCGCCCACTCGTGAGAGAATTAATAAATTTTGTGGGTGGTGGGGATTATCCGGAGAGTGACAGGTATTATTTGGTGCCCAGCTTGGTACAGGTAGGTGGACGGTACAAAAATTCTAGCCTCTAAAGGTTGCAAAAGTAGGCACTGGCTATAAAAAGGTTGACTAGCACTGTTTTAAAATAACATCAGATCTATGACGGATAGGACTGTCGTTCATGCAAATGTTGAAAGTTTTTGTGCTGGTTGAGAGTCACTTTATGACTTCTATGGCCATCAGTGTCACCCTTATTAATCTGTCTCTATTCTGCCATACACTGACAGAACGTCTTTTTTGTTATTCACAGCAGTTTCAAGTTAAAATGGCATTTTGTCAAGTGACCATTTTTTAAAAAGTATTTTTCGAAATTTAAATTCTGATTCATTAAAAAACTGGTCGCAGTTTCAGTTGTTTTTTTTTTTCACACAAATAGAGTAAATGATCAGGCTACTAATTAAGCAAATAAAAACATTTGGTGTAAAAAAATATAAAAAAGGCGTTTGTTTTTTTTTCAGCTCAGGGCAGTATTGCTATAACCACTCTCTCTTTCTCTCCCTTTCTCTTTTCTCCTTTTCTGTCTCTCATTCTCTCCCCCCCTCCCCCCCCCCCCTCCATATCCCTCACTCTCTCTTTCTTTTTTTTTTGTAAGTGTTTTACGGCTCTCACAACTGCATAAGGTCATATGAGCGCGCGGGACACACCTAATATTTTCAGTTGGTAGGAAATTTTGAATTTTGCCCGGGTTGCAGCCGAAGCCTACTCTTGTCGATTTTAGACCACCAAGGGATCTTTAACGTGCGCAACTTGCACACGGGTCCTCCGAGATTTTTCGCCCTTGTCCGAGAAGGCTAGGTGTAGATCTTTCCTACCAGAAGATAGGGGTGTGGCAGAAAGACAGCAGTAAGGAGGAGCCAAGGAGTAGCAGTCGAAAGGTTGCAGAAAGAGTCAGGAACCCAGAGGAGGGGGCAAAGGAGGTGAGGGGGTGGGGGCAGAAAGTGGAAATGAAAGCAGACAACAGAACATTGCTAGAGAGCAGGAAAGGAGGTGAAAGGAGACAATTTCAGAGAAGAAAATTTTTAGGTCGCTACCCGGATTCGAACCGGGGACCTTTGAATGAGAGGCCAACACCTTAACCTCTAGGCCACGAGAGCCCCCTCTCTTTCTTTCTCTCTCTCTGTCTCTGTCTCTCTCTCTCTCTCTCTCTCTCTCTCTCTCTCTCTCTCTCTCTCTTTCTCTCTCTCTCTCTCTCTCTCTTTCTCTCTCTTTCTCTATCTCTCTCTCTTTCTCTCTCTCTCTCTCTCTCTTATACATGAGTTTTGACGATAAACTGGTGATATGTTAACCTTATTGTCTCTTCTCAGAGGACGAAAAGAGAGGGAGAGAAATCTGCCGAGACACCATCTGGGCAAAACTGTTGAGTTGCAGAGACTGCAAGTAAGTGGAAGGTTTTAGTATCAGGTCTTTTTTTTAACTCATTTCAGCCCATGGGAATTTTTTTCACCATCTCTTTTTCTCTCACCCTCCCTCCCTTCCTCGCTTTCTCCCTCCTTTCCTCCCTCACACACACACATTCTCACAAACACTCGCACACACACACAGTAATGATGTTGGAAAACTTCACCGTCCGCTCCCCCTTCAATAAAAGAAAAATATCTGCAGACTTTCTGTTTTCTCCTATTTTTAATCATTTTTTGCCTTCAGGGAACGGATTCTTTTCACCCTTATAATATTGTGCAGTAAAGTCCTCTTAATTAAACCAAAATCTGCTGGAAACAAAGATTTTACTCCTTCAGCCATGCTTTCATTTCAATGTAGAGAGTGCAAAAAAATTTTTTTATTTTAACAAAATATTCTCAAGCACATGCTACCAATACTCTACGTTAAGAAGCTGCAATAAAAAAGATCTTTTATAATTTGGGGCTTAACACATCTCAACAGCTAGCCAACGATATTCATCTTGTGGTTTCTCCTCACCCCAGGTTCCTGATGGGAGCGTCATGTGGAGGTGGGAACATGAAGGCTGACGAGGAGGCTTTCAACAAGGTTGGGTTGAGGTCCAGACATGCTTACTCTATTCTGGACGTGCAGGATTTAGAAGGGAACAAGTGAGAACATTTTCCTTCATTTTTCTTATTTTCAGAATTTTACTGCCTTTTCCAAACAGAAGGGTTGTTTAGGAGATGGGACCTTCGAATTTTACATTAGTCTCAGTAAGTACAGAGCTGAGAAGATGGAGAGCTTTGAAGATTCCCCAGGTGGGGGGGGGGGGGTGTCTATGGTGTCAGAGGTAAAATCAGTGAGAAAATTGCCTCTATAATTTACATTTTTGGGCCTTTTATCACAGATTTCATAAAAAATCAAAGGTAAAATGTTTTTATAAAAATTGACGAGCTGATGGAAAAAAATTGGGATTTTTTCAATCGAACTAGTTTTTACGAGCGCCTGATTTCACCACACACGGCGCACCGGCACAGGAATTTTAGTTGCCGCGGGGGTTCCCCGCCGGGCGCCTTATCACGTCGGGGTCACTGGGGTCAGCTCCCTGTCGCCGCTCTGTCTGGGCCGACTTAATTTTTGATACTTTTCAACGTACAATTTTAGGTGTATCCTTGTATTTATGGTAATTCTCATTTAGTGCACCCAAAGCATGCATTTCTGCTCTTGAGACTCAAAAAAGAACGGACGTTGTAACTTGTCTGGTTATTTCGTTAGACGCGCTGGAGTCGGCAATGCTAAATTGTAATTTTTTTTGGACTAGCGTGAATGAAAAAAAATCAATATAAAAAAAAGGCCTCAACAAAATCTGTCTAACTTTTGGAACATGAACGACATAGCATTGGTGCAGATACTCAGAAAAGATGGTATCTGCGCATTTAATAGAAAACTGTAATTTTGCAACTTTATCCATCGGGCACACAATTCGCTATGAAGTAATTCCTCCAAATACAACTTTATATGTCTAATATAATCGTGAATATTCGCATATTTTCTCGAAAGTTTATAAAACTTACCATGAAGTTTCTTTATGAAAAATACAAATCGATTTTAATGCCAGAATACATCTTCAATGTCAATGTAAAACACAAACAGTATCTGTTACGCTCCAGAAATTCCTTACTTTTCTTAAAACGTTAAGTCTAGGTTTTGTAAGTTGACTGAGTAATAGGGATGACTTCTCGTAATTTGGTTATAAGAATAATTTCTAGCTTTCCAGGGATACTGAATCAGCACCAGACTTTTCCAGCTTTTTTTTTCGTTTCTATGACCATTTGCAATAACTGACAATGTGACTGATTTCTTTACATTCATAATTGTGTCCGCGCATATTTCCGACACAAAAACTAAGAATGAATGTGTTAGCTGTCATTATTTTTATTCCATACAAGAAGTTTATCTCTATGCATGTATTTACACGGTTTTGTGGGGTTTTTTAATCGCTTATATCTTTTTAGTTGTATGTAGGCGGCCACTGACACAGCATGATTCATGAACAAACGCAGATTAACTTTCTCTTGTAAAATAAAAGCTAACGCTGATCGTCTTTAGTTAAAAAATGCAAATGTGCATCTTTCTTCTCTTATAACTTGACTATTACTACTCGCGCAGATTTAAGATTTCTCATGGTAAAAGACATGATATTCGTAGTCAGTTTAACACAGATTTTGGAGAGATCTATTGTGCCATTTGTAAATTAACAACCATTTATTCATAAGTTTGTAACTAAAATAGGACAAATTGGGTACTCTACAAACACTTGTCTAGAACAAAAACTAAGGCACAGAAATTAACCATTCTAACGCAGAATAAATCTCAAGACATTGAGCTGTTAGTACATCCACGTAATGGTTTGCTTTGTGGGATGGGGAAGAAGTTATATTGTTTTAAACATAGTCAAAAATACGAACTTCCTAACCGACACCGGCAAAGTCACTTCAGGGCTCATTAACCCTGTGACCCCGAGCCGGGGAGCTCCGGCAGGCTGCAGAGTCACGCTAACTAAAGGTTACAGAATCGGGCGAAAAGTGACGCCGTGCACAATGCCTCACATAATTTGTTTCAGGTTGATCCGACTGCGGAACCCTTGGGGACGTTTCTCATGGACAGGTAACTGGAGCGACGGCTCGATATCCTGGCAGACCGTGACAGAGGAGTCGAGGAGAAGAGTCATGGCCATGGGGGAAGAGCAGGGCGTTTTCTGGATGGAGTTCACCGACCTCATGAAGTGAGCCAGTGCTTTGTGTCCCTGTCCAGGATATTTTTATATATTGTCACCTTTGTGATAAGATCAGGTAGACGATGTAATATCAATTTTATAAAAAATTTTGGGGACGAATTTTGACTAGAAATGTCGAACCGCCCTTAGCTGACGAAACGCCTTTTTTCATTTTTGGCACAAAGTTATTGTATTTGCTAAATCAAAAGCCTAATTTGATCAGTCACCCTACTTGTATGAAAAAATCAAAGTGAAACTTTGGCTATTTTTTAAATAAATCAGAATGTAAATTTCAGAAGAACGCTATTTTTAAATGGCTATACTGACAAAAGCCTTTTTATCTCGAAACTGCTGTAAATGAAAAAAAAAGGCATTTTTGTCAGCTTACGCAGTGATGCATGTAAGCTTCATACAGCTTAGCCGACAAATCCTGCGTGTACTCAATGTCACGTAGATTTCTTTTTTCTTTGTGTTCCGCTGCTAGATCACAGGGATAGTCTACTGCTCTGCCGTCTTAGGAAAAAAGGACGAATATCGGAAATTGGGTCATATAGAGATATCAATACCATGTGAAAGAGCATGAAAAGCTGCATTTTTTAACCAGTGGCCATTACATTTAGAGATGTTCGAATACTTTATTTTGGTATTGGAAGTATTGTCATAATTTTTTTCTTTTTAATTTACTTTATATTTTATGAAAGAAAGACGAATCTCCGGTCCTACTGTGAAAAAAGGACGAATACCGAGAGGTTCGTCCTCAGCTGTATATTAGCAAGTGAAAAGGAAAAACCATTTATGAAAAAGCGACGAATACACCGATATTCGTCCTTCTTCGCCAAAACATGCCTACGTTACATTGCCTTATGGTCTTATGATGAAATACCAAAAGGCTCAAATCCTGGTATATCCAGCTTTGATCCTCGCTGTGTCAAGTGTGTTGCACGTAGTAAGACGACAAGCACGACTGCTTGTGTACACTCACCAGAATTTGAACCCCAGATCTTTGGCTCCACCGGCAAAGCGCAATTAAATAACAGTCTGGAAGCCCCAGAACACTTACAACAAACTGGACGAACCTCAAATATCACAGAAACGAAAATTCCAGGACGTTATTATTTGACAACGTCGGGTGAAAGAAAAACGAATATCGCCATTCGTCTTTTTCACATAAAAAACTAATTAAAACATCATCAATCTGTTATGAAAGAATGACTTTTGTCTTCTCACATTGTTGATATTTCCAAACAAAATTTTAACTACAAGTGCATAATTGCACCATCCTTCCTCCTGACAAAAATCAAGTTAAAAATAAAATAAAAAACCAACCTTTGAAACGTGAGACGAATAAATTTGATTTTTCGGCCCTCCTGGTAAATGGGTATATCGTGATATTCGTCCTTTTTCCCCAAGGAGGCAGTTCTTGTTCCTCAACCTGCAGTGACACTGAATTTTACATACATGATGGTTTTTTCTTCTTAATAGGGCCCTTTGCCTTCAGACAACCACATTCTGATTTCCAAGGCAGTATAATACGAGGGTTGTCCCACGGAAAACCGGAATTTGGCTGTAATTTGAAAACTATTAAATATTTTCACATTCTGTAAACGCACACTTGTAAAACAATCATATTGGAATTTCCCGATTGAACACCATGAGCATCGCACAGACCAAACGAACACAGCAGTTCTCCAAAGATGGCTACCCACTTGGAAAATTGGTCAAAGATAGAAGTGAGATCTGTCATTCGGTTTCTGACCGCAAAAGGTCTCAAACCTATAAAAATACACGCTGAAATAAAGTCAGTTTACGGGGAGAAAGTAATGACAAAGTCACAGGTATATGAGTGGAGTAGTAAGTTCAATGCCGGTCATACGGATATCAATGACAAAGTTCACCCAGGACCTTGTTCTCCGCCAAGACTGAGGACAACAAGAGTCGCGTTAACGAACTCATTCAAACAGACAGGCGCCTAAAAATTCGCGAAATTTCCGAGTCGCTAAACATTTCAAAGTCAACTGTCCATAGGATAGTGTTTGATGAGCTGCACTATCGAAAGGTCTCTGCTCGATGGGTCCCAAAAGAGCTGACAGCTGACCACAAGACGCGTCGTGTTGAAGTGTCTCAGACTTTGTTGAATCGCTGTCGCCAAGCTGTCACGGGAGTCATGAACGCATCTGGAGACCTCCAACAATACGATGAAGCATTTCTGAGAAGCATTATTACAGGTGATGAGACTTGGATACACCACATGACCCCTGAGACGAAGAGAGATTCAATGGTTTGGAAGCACACGTCTTCACCTCCCCCGAAAAAGTTTAGAGTTCAGCCATCGGTGAAGAAACTCATGGCCACGATTTTCTGGGATGCTAAGGGTGTTCTGCTTCTTGACATTCTGAAACCAGGACAAACTGTCAATGCTAACAGATACTGCCAGACTCTTGATAAGTTAAGAGAGGTTGTGCGCCGAAAAAGACCAGGTCAGTTGTCTAGCGGGGTCATGTTGCAGCATGACAACGCAACGCCACACACCGCAAAAGCTACGAAAGACTGGATCCAAAGGTTTGGCTGGGAAGTTCTGCCACTCCCACTTCACAGTCCTGACTTGGCCCCGTCAGATCATCACCTTTTTGGACCAATGAAACGCCATATTTCTGGACAGCGATTCACCGACCACAGCGCCGAAAACTGGCTGAAATCGTGCCTCTTAGTTTCCCAGGCCAGCGACATCTGGAAGTCATTAAATCACCGTCGGAACCGCTCCGTGCCGGGTTACGTGGGGGTCACTGGCCGCTCCGTTGCGCATCAGCTACAGGGGGGCAGGTCATGGCGTAATCGACACTTTTGACACTAATTATCGTCAGTATCCTTACTCTAACCACAAATTATTCCATACTATAAGAAAAGAACAAGATTCCCCCTCTGTCTGCGAAAAGCCGATCTCAATGCGACGATATGTGCCGATGTTACAGTGTGTGCAAAATGTTCTGAATTTCATCGAATTTAATATCTGTGCGCTGCACTTAATTCACTTTTAATTTCCAAAGTGCTCGCTCAATCTCAACAAATTTTGGTACATGCACTGATGACATATTTGTGCTGTACGTGTATAATTTTCATCATTGTTTGAAGAATAGCTCTTGCAATATTAAGTCGCTTACATCTGATTCTCATCCAGTGCCTTGTTAATTGACCAGTGCAATTGCGTATTCTGGATTCTGTGCTGTTTTAAGTTCAACACTTTTCCGTTTATTTCATAGATTGTTGTTTCTATGAAAGGCAGACATATTTGTGCTTAATGTGTATACAATTCATCTTTGTTGATTGAGCCGTGATACGGTATGAGGTAGAATCCATTTGCCCGTGATTCATTTCTAACAGGTTTACTGAAATCGCCCTATGGAACACACACACGGGAGACGTTCCTCCTCCCTGAATGAACTTTGTCGCGTTTGCGGATGTAAGAACGTGACTAAAGTACAACAGAGGCTGATAAGAAAGGCTAGGCCATACGAGTCACTGCCATGGGATATTTTATCATCCAATCATTGTTGACAAAGCGCACTCTATAGGTTTGATTTTCGACTCTCTCAACCAAGCATACAGTCAAATTCATAATGACATCTCACACAGTGCACCTATTCCGAAAACCTCTATTCCAGGAATTCAGACAGCAATATACACGTACATGAAACTGTACAGAAGACATTTTCCAACAAAGAAAATCCCCAAACAGCGCAATTTAGAACAACACTGCATTCCATCCTTAACACAACATGGCTTTGGCTTGGGCCCGCTGGGAGAAAAGGAACCAAAAGCTGCCACCAGTCTATTTTAAAAATTGAAAAGTGGGTTCAAGGCATCGTAAACAATACGGAAAAACTACGATACTTTATGAACGCACATTAATTTGCTCCAGAGAGTATCTTCATTGCAGGCACCGAGAAAACAACCACGGCACCATAGATAAGCCTATAGATCTACTGTAGAAATGTGTAAAGAGATCTGTGTCATTAATTTAATGAAGGATACTGTAAGGAGAATTTCATCACAAGCTCGACGAATTTGGCTGTTGAACGAAAATGCAAAAATGTGGATTACTAATCTTACAACAACGATGTCCTTTGGTAAGTAGATACCCACATTAATTGTCTTTATTCTGAGCGAGATTTAGTGAGTTTATTCCCGCACTTTGGTAGTTACATAACTTTTAATTCGGTGCATATTTCCTTAATTACCACATATAAAACGGCTGTATTTGATCTCGTGCAGTTAATAAACTATACTAGATATCTTCGTTGCGTTTTCACAAACTGCACATTGAAATAAGAAACTCAAAGATGGAACATTATGTGTATATTGATAACCCTGCTTTCATTCGTGAGCGTTGAAACAAAAGTGTGTAAAATTGCCGTGGTATGTAACTCTGCGCGTGGAGTGAGCGCAGGTAGACTGACCGGCAGCTGACCCCGGTCACGCTGACCTAGCAGCATACGGCCTGGCGAAACTAAACGACCGCTGATTCGGTGCTGTGCGACGACGAATACCTCGTGGAAGCAGTGAAAGATTGGTTGAAATCCCTTGACGAAAAATTCTTCAGGGACGGTATCTTCTCCCTGATCCAGCGATGGAAAAAATGCGTCCAGCGGGATGGTGATTACATTGAGAAATAAAGCACAGGTTGAGGTATGATGTGTTACATTTTTATTATAATAGGACAAAGATTGTTGCTTTTATGGACCTTTTCCGGTTTTCCGTGGGACAGCCCTCGTATCACCAAGATTTTACTTTCAAATCTGCCTCTCTTTCCGATTTGCAGATATTTTGACAGTGTGGATGTATGCAAGCTCCAACCGGACTGGCAGGAGAGTCGAGTTGGAGGCTTTTTCCCCCGGACTGGAACCGACCCCACCCAAGTGGTCAAGCTGACAGTGTTCCAAACTACAGAAGTGGAGCTAGGCTTGTTCCAGGAAGGTCCCAGGTAGATGCTATGTCTGTGTTTTGTGTTGGATGGTTGCATACCCCTGCTGTCATAGTAGGAATTTGGATGTTGAACTTTTTTGTTGTTAAAGGCAATACAATTGAACCTGCTCTCATAACCATCTGTCCAAGACATTCACATGTAGAAACAACCACTTCCTGCTTCTCTCGTGCATTTTATTCTTCATGCTGAAGCAGTAATGAGCCCAAAAGTAATATGATATTTCTGATCTTTATTTGCATATATTTTCCTTCATTCTTACATATTTAAGTGTTTGAAACTTGCTGGACTTAAAAGTATTTTTGACAAAAATTTGAATTTCAGGGGAGACAAAGGGAAAAAATCTCCTTTGGACCTATGTATAATTGTCCTCCGGGAGTCGTCAAATCTGCAGCAGACATATGTCGGGAAGTTGGAAGCCCACAGCCCGCGTCAGCTCCGAGGATTTGTAGGATGTCGTCACATGTTCTCTCCCGGGGAGTACATTCTTGTGCCAATGGCATTCGGACACTGGAATGGTTGGTTTTGTTGAGAAAAATAATCCCTTATCCCTTCTCGTTTTTATAATCATACTGATAATAACAATATTAAATTACATTTGAATGGCACATGTTCACCGAGAAAGTGCTTAATACAAAGAACATACTTCAAATAGTGATTCTTTTTCTTTCTTTCTCTCTCTCTCTTGCTCTCTGTCTCTGTCTTTGTCTCTCTCTCTCTCTCTCTCCCTCTCTCTCTCTCTCTCTCTCTCTCTCTCTGTCTCTCTCTCTCTCTTTCTCTCTCTTTTTTTCTCTCTCTCTTTCTTTCTCTCTCCCTCCTCCTCCTCTTCTTCATCCTCCTGCTTTACACCCCCCCCCCCCCCCCAGTTTTACTAACATTACATGGATCTCCAGATAGTACATTTCAGAGTTGATTTTCAACCAGATATTTCTCAAGCTGATGTAACCGATATTACTGATTAAGAAACTACAACAAAAAAAGTACAAAATGTTTGACATAGTACAACTGATGAGCCGTCTGATTATATAGTGAACTCACACATAACAAAACAGATTTTTCAGTCCAAAATCTTTTTCATATACATTATTTTCTTTGGATTTAAAACATATACATTTGGAAATTTGTACATACAGACCTGCCACTCATCCCTTTTTAATTGGGATATCCCGATTTTTTCCCCCAAATCTCGAGCATCCCGATTTTCCCGATTTTGGTCGCCAGTATCCTGATTTTTTTGTTGTTGCGTCCGATTCTTAGAGAAAAAAAATTTCTGCAATCTCATTTGCTTGGAAGTGCTGCTTGGACTTTTTATCAGCTAGAACTTAGAACGCTATTTTCTAAAACATCAATGCCGGGTCTATTAGTTGACTCACGCACGTTATTTCGAAGAGGTATCGATTTTGAATTCCGACTTGGATACTCTCTGAGTCTACTTTCGTTTTTGTTACCCAGAATTCTCCAGTGATGGCCTGATAACTGTAACAATTATGACATAGGCCTAAGAATAATCTGTTCTCTGTTCTGCCGTTGCTTTAACCCTTTCGTACCCCCAGTGGGTCGGGGGGATATAAATAGACCCACTGCTTCGTCTGCAGAAGGTGCAACCCCTTCAAAGGCGAGGTGTCGCACACGGACCCCAATCCTCTGAGATCCGGATGCGACACCTACTTTGGTGTATCTTCCTCTTCTCCTTCCTTCTTTCTTTCTTATTCTATGTTTCCTACCACCGCTGACCTCATGTGCAGCAAAAAGAGAGGTCACCCATCCCACAGAGTGGGCGCCTCGTTGACCGTGAGGTGCGACCCGTGCGGAGGGAAATCGGGTACCTGGCGGTTGAGGTGAGATCAATCCACGGACTGTCCCTCGCCAACACACCTCTTTGGCCCAGGTTTTCCTCTTAGACGGGAGGGTGGCACGGCCCATGCCACTCAATCGGTTGAGAGCTGAAACCCCATCAAGCCCTGGGTAAATCTTGACGGGAGGGTCTTGTACTTTCTCGTTGAGAGTATAGCTCCGGGGTAGCCTTGGCACAGCTCTGGTCATCCGAGCTATGTGTCCCCTTGTTGGGCTCCGTGGCAGGCGGAGAGCCCCGGAGTCGAATCAAATAGAAAACTCTCTTGGAATCCAAATCTAAAAAAGACCCTTCCCCAGCTCCCAACGTTAAAAAGTCTCGGCACGCGGAAGCGGGTGCGGCCGCCGAGCCGAGCAAAAGCTAAAAAAATGGTAAAAGGACCTTTACCGATGCCTCTTTCCTCCCTCCTCCCAAGGAGCTTCTGAGGCAACCGTACGTGGCCATCTCCAGAACAAAAGACGCACAGAGAAGAATTACCGATCTCTACCTCTTTAAGACAGGAGATGCACTACGGAAAGTTCTGGGATACATTCCCACATGTGTACAGAAACTTTCCTGTGGTGCACTCCTTGTCAAGTGCGCAACCGAGAAGGAAGAGACCAAACTCGCCACGACCTTCGGCGGTATTCAATGTAAGTCAGAGCACTACCAAAAATTTAACCGCTCGAAGGGCGTGGTCCGCAGCCATGAGCTGAAAGGCTGCTCCATGGAAGAGATTGTGGAGCACTGTGAGGGAGTGGTCGAAGCCCGCCGGATTACTCTTCGGCGGGGGGAGACTACTATCGAGACGAACACGATTGTCCTAACATTTAAATCGTGTCGCCCTCCAGCCACCGTTTGGGCATCTTACTTGGTACTCGACGTACGACCCTATGTGCCGAACCCTCTGCGCTGTTTCAAGTGTCAGAAGTTCGGCCATAGCCAGTCACGGTGCCGTCACGCAGCCGTGTGTCCTTGTTGTGGCAAGACCGGGCATCCTGAGAAGGAATGCAAGGCTAGTCCTTGTTGCCCCAATTGCCACAGCCAGCACACAGCTTTCAGCAAGGAGTGCCCGACTTGGCTCCAAGTACGCACCATCCAGGAATACAAGGCGCGAAATGGCTGCTCCTTCCAGGAGGCCCGTAAGGTTGTCTGCCCGCCAATCACAACCCCAGTCATTGGCCGGTCGTATTCAAAGGCAGCCCAGGTGGTCACGAGGTCGGCAAGTAATTCTACTGCCGACCTCCCAAAGCCCGCGGTCAACAGGCAAGTCTCTGTGCCTAAGATTACTAAGAACAGAAAGCCTGCTGTTATCCCTGTGGCAACCCCCTTTGAGGTACCACTCTCTGACCGCTATGGGGTTCTAAGGGAGGACGGGGAGGACTCTTCCAGCAGACAAACCCCTGCCTATGGAGGAAGACAGCTCCGACCCCCCTCCCCGGCCTGACCCCGGGAAGGGCGGAGTCTGTCACTTCTCCAAATCCCCCACTAGACCGCTGTCCAATCCAGGACGGCAACCGAGAAAACACTCTGCCTCCCCGGCAAGGAGGAGTCAGAGTGCTTCTTCGAAGCCGGGGCCTTTGAGCTCCAAATTAAAAAGTAAAAATTCATAATAGCAGTCTTGCAATGGAATGCCTGCGGAATCCGACCTTCCATTGCAGAATTGCAACATTTACAGGCCACACTGTGCCCACGGGTGGCCTGTATTCAAGAAACAAAATTCGCCTAGGCTTCAACCATAGACTTAAGAGGATTTACTGCGTACCATCACATTCACACGGAGAACCAGATTGCTTCCGGTGGTACCACCATCTACACCGACAACCACACACTCCACAGACAAGTACATCTTAAGACGACCCTCCAGGCTATTGCCGTACGGGTCACCCTGCACAGACCAATCACGATCTGCTCAGTTTATATCCCACCAAATTACCCCCTCAAAATAACCCAACTAAATGATTTAAAGGCTCAGCTTCCAAAACCCTTTATTTTGCTAGGTGATTTCAATGCCCACGGCCCCCTTTGGGGAGACAAACCTACCGACCAGAAAGGAAAAATAATAGAAAACTTTTTATTTCAAAATAACATCTGTCTCTTAAATGATAAATCCCCAACTTACAGAAACAGAGCCACTTATGGCACTTCATCCCTTGACCTCACCTTTTGTACCCCTGACCTAGTCCCAGATCTTGAGTGGTCTGTGCTGGATGACCGTACGGACCATTTCCCAATTCTCCTAAAAAACAATAGCCTCCAAAACGACCCGATCCCAGAACGCTTCAACTTTTAAAAAAGCAGACTGGGACGGGTTTGCCTATCAATGTTCCCAGATTCTTAATCCCAATTTCGACCACAACTACAATAAATTCCCCGAAAAGCTTTTAGAAATATGCCACAAACACATACCAAAAACAAAAACAAAACCCTGGAGGAACAAGATCTGGTTCTCTTGGGAGTGTGAGGACGCAGTAAAGAAAAAGAAGGCAGCGTATCGAAAGGCCGTCAACACCACCACCATAGAAAACAAGATAAATTATTTAAAGGCTCGAGCTGTGGCACGTAGATGCCTCAGGGAGAGCAAAAGACAATCATTCCAAAAATACATCTCCAAAATCAACAGCCAGACACCACTCAACCAAGTTTTCAAAATTGCTAAAAAAAATTTAGGTAGACGCACAGACACCATTCGGCACGTCCAGAGGCCGGATGGAACCACAGCTGAAACACAAGCAGACATCGCAAACACAATAGCTACATCTCTTGCCAAAAACTCATCCCAAGCAAACTACAACACCACTTTTCAAAACATCAAAACTTCCACTCAAACAACACTGAAACCTACAATGCAGACTTCACAATAGACGAACTAACATCGTGCATCTCGGACCTGGGCGATACAGCCCCGGGACCGGATGACATCCACAACAAGATCATTAGACACTTACCCTCAGAAACACTCACACTCCTACTACACATATACAACGACATGTGGCGGTCGCACTCCTTTCCGGAGTCTTGGCGTCTCGCCACTGTCATTCCAATACCCAAACCAAACAAAGACCACACACACCCATCCAATTACAGACCTATAGCTCTAACGAGCTGTCTCTGCAAACTGATTGAAAAAATTATTTACAGGCGACTCGTGTGGTTTCTAGAAACGACGGGCTCGCTGAGCGGTCTTCAGTGCGGATTCAGGAAAATTCGATCCACTCTGGATCACCTGTTCCGCCTGGAGACCTTTATACGCGAGACGTTCACTAAAAGGGGCCACATGATCGCCATCTTTTTTTACCTTGAAAAAGCCTTCCACACAACCAGGAAGTTCGGCATTCTTCGAGACCTGCATGCACTCGGCATACGTGATCACCTCCCAGCCTTCATTGGCAACTTCCTGAAGAACCGTTCCTTCCAGGTTCGTGTCGGATCCTCCCTTTTAGACCCCCACCAACAGGAGGAAGGAGTCCCCCAGGGGAGCATCGTTTCTCCTCTCCTATTTGAAATTAGAATAAATTCCATAGTGAAAACCCTCCAAAACAGCATAGACAGCTCGTTATACGTTGACGACTTTTTGATATGCTGCCGTTCAAAAAATCCTCATTTGAGATCTATGGAAAGGCAGCTGCAAAAACTCAAAACGTGGGCAAACAATAACGGTTTTAAGTTCTCCCCGTCAAAGACGGTTGCAGTACACTTCTGCCGAACAGGCAGACGTGTGCTGCAGCCGGATTTGACACTATACGGGGAAAGGATTCCTGTCAAGGACCAAGCTCGTTTCCTTGGCGTCATTTTCGACAAAAAATTCACATTCATACCACACATCAAAGACCTTCGAGTGAGGTGCCAGAAAGCGTTAAACGCTTTGAAAATTCTATCGAATCCGGAGTGGGGCGGGGACTCAAAACACCTTCTCCACTTGTACATCTCCCTTGTCCGGTCCAGGCTTGACTACGGCTGTCAAGTCTACGGATCGGCAAAACCACACATTTTAAAAATGCTAGACCCAATACAGAACCAAGGACTCCGCCTCGCTCTGGGGGTTTTCCGCACTTCTCCGGTGGAGACCCTCCAGGCCGAGGCCAACATACCACCACTCTCACTCAGACGCACACAACTCTCACTACAATACGCAGTTAAACAGAGCTCAACACCGGAAAATCCAGCACACAACAGCATTTTTTAAACAAACCCAGAAACCATAAACAAATTCCAAAACAACGAAAAACTCATCAAACCCTTCGGCGTTAGAATCCTTGAGGACCTCAAAAACTTACACATTTCCAAACAAGACATCCAACAAATTCTTTTCCCCGACCTCCCTCCGTGGCACCTCACCAAGGCAAAAGTAGACTTACAGCTGACCACGCACAACAAAGAAAGCACAAACACCAAAACTTTTAAAGCAGAATACAAAAAACTAATAGATAAATACCCCGGTGCGGAGCTCATCTTCACGGACGGCTCCAAAAAAAGACAATGAAGTGGGCGCCGCAGCCCTATCTCCCAACAATACACACCAGAGGAGACTCCATCCTGAAGCCTCCATTTTCACTGCGGAGGCCACTGCCATTGACATGGCTCTAGACTCTGTAGAAAATTCTCCTAACAAATCTTTCCTTATCCTTTCTGACTCTCTGTCTTGCATCACCTCACTCACAAACTACACAGTCTTACATCCAAAAATAGTTAGGCTACAACAGAAAATTCATACACTATCCGAAACAGGAAAAAACATCATGTGGGCTTCCGAGGAAACGAGCAGGTAGACGACCTGGCAAAGAAAGCTTCATCCCTTCTGCTGGGATCAACGACAAACACTCTCCCACAGACTGACTTTAGAAATAAAGTCAAAAAGTACTCCTCAGTCTGTGGGAGAGCCACTGGGAAAAGCAGAAAAATAATAAACTATATGAAATAAAACCCAAACTAGAACAGCGAAATCCTTCAGACCTCTCCAGAAGAGACGAAGTCATTTTTACTCGATTGCGCATCGGACACAAGGCCCTGACCCACAAATACCTCCTATAGGGAGATGAGAAGCCGTTCTGTGTCGGATGCGACACAGATTTTACCATTAGACACATCTTAACAGAATGTCTAGACTTTGGAGAGATCCGAAGGAAATATTATAAATGCAAGAAATTACAAGATATTTTTCCCGTCGTTGGTCCCAGCAAAATTTTGAATTGTATGAAGGCCATTGGCCTTTATGGCAAATTGTAAAATGAAAACGTACTATTTAAAAATGTTTATTGTTACTTAAAAGAGTTGTTTTAAATCACAAATATATTTACACTGAATTTAAATATTTTAACATTTTAGCATTTTAAAGTCAATTAGATAACCAATTGTGGAGTGAACTTTTGCAAAAGTAAACAACTTGTGTTTCGCGCGCTCATATGACCTTACCAGTTGCGAGCGCCGTAAAACCCTATACTACATACATACTTAAAAGCAAGCTTCGTCGGAGTTCTGATTAGTCGGACCCATCATCAAGACCTGTCTGTGGAACTTTGAAACGCTCGTTCGCACCACGTGACATGACCTCGTTCGTGCGAGTAGCGCGTGTAGGTCAACAAAGTTCATTCACACCGGTCGCTTTGGTCGAGGTGTTTTTCGGGACTTAACCAGTATGGGATGACCGGGGGGAGGGGGATGGGGGTATTTTTTGTTTACACTTAGGCTTTTAGTGCTTGCCGTGATACAGGTACTAATTGAGGATAAAGGAATAAGAAAATAATAGTAAATGAACAACCTTGGCGCTTTTGTTTGCTGTTGGGTTTTTTTGGGGGTTTTTTTTTTTTGCGGGGGTGCCTTGAGTGTATATGCGATTAAAGTTAAACGTTACTGTTGTTACTGTATGCAACCTGCGCTCCCCCAGTCTATGTCTATCCAACTCGGACTCGAGTACATGCTCTTTTTCAGTTTTTTCTACTACTTTGAGACCCAAATGGGAACTTATTTCTTCGAAAGTTTTATCTTGCTTGCTTGCCTCATAAAAGGACCCCCCCCCCTTTCCCCAGTGCCACTTATGATTGATTTTTGCTGATCCCGATTTTTTTCACCAGATCCTGATTTTTTTACTCTGAAATCCGGATTTTTAGATTTCATAGAGGGGCAGGTCTGTACATAGCTAAAAGATTTCTGTGTCCCATAGATTTCGCTAGACTGTATTAATATAAATATGCAAAGAGAGAGAAAGAGAGAGAGGAGGGGAGAGGGAGAGAGACACAAAGAGAGAGAGAGAGAGAGAGAGAAAAAGAGAGAGTGCTCACATATCTATAGGAAGGAGGCTCTATTCACTTTACCACTTATTATTACCGTGAGAGACTCTATAACATTCAGAAACATTCTCTTCTTGTCTGAGAAGTGTTCAGAAGGCAACAGGCTCACTCTTTTATAGTGTGTTTTGGTTTTTCTCTCTGTCTTGCAGCGTCGTCCAAGTGGCACAGTTTTGTGGTCTCCATACACAGCTCAAAGAAGCTGATGGTGGAAGACGGGATATGCAACCGGCCTCTGGTGCTGGCTGATGCAATCCTGCAGCTAGCTGTAGCAAATGGCAGCCGGGAAGAGGTATGCTGCTTGTGTTGTTCTTTGTGTGCGCGCGTGTGAGTATGTTTGTGTGTGTGAGTGTGTGTGAATGCGTGTGCATGTGTGTGAATGTTTGTTTGTGAGTGTGTATGTGTGTGTGTGTGTGTTTGTGTGCGTGCGCATGTGTGTGAATGTTTGTTTGTGAGTGTGTAAGTGTGTGTGTGTTTGTGTGCGTGCGCATGTGTGTGAATGTTTGTTTGTGAGTGTGTATGTGTGTGTTTGTGTGCGTGCGCATGTGTGTGAATGTTTGTTTGTGAGTGTGTATGTGTGTGTGTGTTTGTGTGCGTGCGCATGTGTGTGAGTGTGTGCACATGTGTGTGAGTGTGTATGTGTATGTGTGACTGACAGCCTGCTCTATGTGTTTGTTTTTTATCAGAACTCTTAGGTAAGGCTTTAGTTTTACTTTGATGTTGGATTTTTTTTATTAGTTGTATTTTCTGGGGAGTTTGCTAGGAGTATGTATGTTTTGAGGATATGGAGGGGGGGAAGATCTGGTAAAAAGAGTTATAATTGAGTGTGTTCTTCTACAAGACACAATAACACAAGCTTAGTGGGTGGTTGGTGGGTGCTCTGGTGTGGTGTTCACAGTTCTCCTTTCCTTTCAAAACATCTATCATACTTTTCTCCCTTCCTTCTTTTTTGTGTTTGTTACTATCTTGTGTCACCTCTAATCTTAGACAATCATAATATAAACTTATTGTTGTTCAAGTGCCGTAAATCACTTACTAAAAAAACAGCAAAAAAGCGAAAGCTTAAAAATGGGTTTTCTTTTCTTCTTTTCTTTTTTTTTTTTCATTCTGTTCATCCATTGTGTGTGTCACTCAGCTGTGGGAGGGTGTCACGGCTTACACTTTGCTCAACGGCTGGTCTGGGGGGATCTTTGTTGTGGAGAATCGCCTCCCACACAACTCTGTCCACGTCCAGTGCGACTGTCAGAACAGCTCCAACATCGTCTCCACTCGAGGATCGTTGATCACAACGGATGTCATCCCACCGTTTCACAGGTATTGAGCTCTTTCAGAGTCGCTGTTTTTTTTGGGGGGTGTTCTAAAAGTCTTCTGAATTCTAAAAAAACTAGTGTTTTGCAGATGGGTCGTTAATATGCACATATATTCAAACCATTTCATCACATACATGTACAAAAGGCCTATTTATAAGTTTGTTGCAAGGGAGTTTGTCATCAGTAGTAAAGTGATTAGTATCCACAGGAGACCAAGGTTCAGTTACCAAGAGGATGCATAGGATGATTGAAAAGAATTGATCAGAAAGACGGACAGAGAGAAATTATTTATAGATTTATTACAATAAAGAGGAAAAGATTTTTATACAGTATTCAATCTGTTTAATGAAAATCACATATTGTCCAGTTGGTAGAAATGATATAGCTAGTGAAAAATAATAATGATGATAATAATTATAATAATAGTAGCAGTAATAATAAAAATAATTGCATTTGATTAGCACATATCCATGCTCTACCGCTTGCTCCATGTGCCTTACAACTATGTTCAACATCTCATTTATCCATGAATGTCTTCCTGGTCTTGTGTTCCCACAGACAAGTGATCATGGTCCTGTCGTACCTGGAGCGCTCACAGCCGTACCACGTGTCCCGTCGTCTGCTCCACCGTACCCTGGCCGTCAACATGCCCCTAGGGAACTGGGCCCCGCCAGACGCTGCCCACACCTTCCACCACCCGCACATCTCGCCGCAGATGGAGTCCATACACCAGCCACGACCCTACGTCTAGGATGTCAAGCCATGGCAATTTTTTTTTTTTTTTTTTTTTGTTTTTTTCAATATTCCTGAAGTTTTTGATTTTTCAAATTCATGACCATACCTTTCGGTTTGTAAGTGAAGAATTTGTTTTATTATATTCAAAAACAAGATTTCTAAATTTTTTAATTCAAATACTTTTGGCTGCTGTTTTTGTTTTTGTGGTTGACAGTAAATGTCTGGATTTTCAGGTGTGATATCAGTTTCTTTTTTGTTGATGTTCTCAAGAAGTTGGGATGTAGGTGACGCACTCTTTGAATATGAAAGCCATAGTTATGTTGAATGAAGTCCTGACTCACTCATATGCATAAATTAAGTACATATACATTTGTTGTTGCTGTCACCAGAATAACTAGTTACTGTGTACTGTTCTTTTTCCTCACTCTTTTTTTTCTGTATTTTGCCCATATCATTTTCGCTAACATTTTGAGTTTTCGGTTTGCCATCACCCAGTGTCATATGTTCCAGTTCCCTTTTAACATTTCGTGAATTACTTCATTTCATGATTTTCTTAAAAAATGTGAAAATCACGAATTCAAGTTGGAAGGGAAAAAAGACAAATGCCTTGTTTACAGTACTTGTAAGTACATGTATTTTAGCTACCCTGTGAAGCAGGGTCAAATGAAGTTGTGCATGTCGTTCTGTTTTGCTTCTCCCAGGAAGCTTCCTTTTTGATGTACAACAGTTTGTTTTACGAACATCTTTATTTAGAAACAAAGCTCATCATTCCTTGATTGTTGCTGTTTTGGTTACAGTATTGTTATGAAACCATTCGTCTCTTTATTGCTACATTTGTATTTGTGTTGATGTGCCTGACATGGAATATTTTTGTATTTTGTCAGACACTAACAAGGCTTTTATTAACCCTGCTGAAGCTATGGGCACAGTTCTAAGAAAGGAGGTCACTGGGTGAGAAATGATAATGGTTTTGATTTAGATGATCACCCATAGGACTGGAAGCATATAAATGGTTTATCTGTGATTCAAAGCTTGACCCTAGATGTTTAAAACAAAGTAATGTTAATGACTTGTGTTTACAGAAACCTTGCTTTGTTACGGTCGCCAAAATTATGGCAAACCTTTCTCTGCTAGCACTGGTCTCAATGGCCAAGGCTGAAGCCACAAGTCATCTTAACCTTTGATTCTTCTGTTCCACTTGAGAAGTATTCTCCTCCACTGATGCATTGGTCATTATCAGACATTAACAGATAAACTGCTACAGAAACCTGTTTATACTTGTTACGGTCGCATTTAAACATAACTTCTTCTGAGAATCCTGCTACTGGTATTCTTTTTGTGTGAAAATCCTTCTCTGATTCACTATCAATCAACATTTAACTCATTTCCCCGTTTGTCTTCTCTTTGCAATCGGTCCAAGCTTTTTTGATACAGCATTTCTAACTGTGACCCAGTTAGCTTCAGCTGGTTAAAGAGAGATTGTATGTGTCCCTGTTGAAGGGAATGCCCCTGTGATAAAATAATGCTCACATTATTGCTTATTTAGGCCGAGCCATGTAAAGTGAAAGTGGTGTATGTAACGCGGAGACAAGTGGCTGCTTATAGAGTTTGGGGGGGGGGGGGGGGGGGGT